ATTAGTACCAAGATAATTTATACACATGCCAGGATAAGTTATCCCATGATAAAACAATAAAATTGACAATCTCAAAATTAATACAACATACCAAATAATCAATAAGAAATAATACAAGGATAACTGATGTAACATAACTTATCTTCAAACCAAATGAATCCTTAGTCTAGAGATTTTGTTATATTTTTTTATTTACTATTGGACTGAGATTTAAATGGGTTACACAGACAAATGATGATTTATATAGGCCACCTTTACAAGCTTTGAGACAAAAGTTCTGTTATTCTTATATATATGTGAATCTCTTTCCAGTGTGTAAATGTTTTTGGAGGACTGAGGAATATTTGCAGATATAAGAATTTTGGCTTCTCATCTATGAAATATAGATGTTACTTACCAACTATGCATTATATATGATCATTTAAGCATTTAACGTAGATTCAATAAATTCCTGAATAGATATTAAGCCTAAATATTCAACACAACGAGGTTATTGAAATCAATTTCTTTTTTTGTCATTTATGATTTGGGGTGGAATAATGACTTCCGTCGTACCAAACATCCCTGATCATAATTAACAGCGACTATGTTTCCTTGAACATGACTTTGATCGTACCAAACATCCCTGATCATAAACAGCCCCATATTTGATTCGTCCCTTTTCTTGGAGGAAAAGATTTTAGACTTCTATAAATTAAGGATCCTCCATTCTCATTTACCAGCATCCATAATGTAGTCATATGAGGTTTGGGAGTCTTCTTTAGGAAGAGAACTTTTCGGGACAAGTGTTAGTGTGCCACTTGTGTTTGCCTCTTCGTGAGGTTGTTCTCTCGATATTTTTTACTCTCTTTATATATAATAGATTGCTCATCTCCGGCCGGGAATGTAGGTTAATTGACCGAACCACGTTAAATATCTCTTTTGGTATATTTCTCTTATGTTGTTTGATTTATCGTTGTTCAAGTATTGTTTTAATAGTTTCCGCATGACTCCTGATTTTTTCGGTCCTAACAACAACAATATCTTTCTTGGAAAATGACTTCAATCATACCTGCAACCACACTCACAATCTGTCGAATTTCGTTTTACCTGTCACTGCAGCGTCCAAATGTGCCAAAGTTTGGCAATTGGGAAAGTGAAGACAACACTCCCTATACTGTCTTTTTTGACAATGCAAGGAAAACTCGTGGTGGAAAGATGATAAATCCAAATGACCCTCAAGAAAATCCAGACATGTTTCCCTACTCTGCTCCTAAAACTCAAAGGGATGAACAAAAACGTCGAGTGAGTAAAGAACATGGTGATATTCAACAACGTAATGGAGCTGGTCGTGGATCAAACTCAGGGCGACCTGCTAGACAAACTGCAGGATCTGATCACAACATTGCTAAATCACCCATTCATCCAAATTCTCAGCAGGCGAAGATATCAGGACGAGTAGCTGCTTCGCCTGTTTGGGAAGGGAAGAATTCATATGATAGTAGCCATGGTACTACTCCTGGAAGATCATTTGAAAGTGCTCGTGCTACTCCGGGGAGGCATCAAATGAAGAAAGAAAGTGTATGTTTCTTCCTATTCTATTTCATCTTTCATAATATCAGAGAAGGGGAGCCTTGGCGTAATTGGTAAAGTTGCTGCCATGTGACAAAGGTAACTGGTTCGAGCCGTGTAAACAGCCTCTTGCAGAAATGCAGGATAAAACTGCGTACAATAGAACCTTGTGGTCCGGCCTTTCCCTAGACCTCGTGCATAACGGGAGTTTAGTGCACCGAACTGCCCTTTCATAATATCGAAGATTAGACACTTACAACTTGTGATTGCATGCCTTACTTATCCTATTTGACAGATAATAAGCTAATTAGTAAGATATGTTAGCCATTTCTGGACATGATAGGAAATGCATTTGATACTTTGAGTTTAATTACCTTGTATATACTGATTATATGCTGACGAGTCTCTGAAAGATAACTACTATAACAAGTTAGGATATATTTCTTGACTCTATCAATGTATATAAGTTATATTCTTGATACTTTTGGTTTAATAGAAGCTACATGGCTCCTAGATCACATACTACCAATTAGTTTAAACAATACTGCAATCACATGTGGTGCTTATACTTTCCTGAGCCGAGGGTCTATTGGAAGCAACCTCTCTATCTTCTCAAGGTAGGGGTAAGGTCTGCGTACACACTACCCTTTCCAGGCCCTACAGTGTGGGATAATACTAGTTATGTTGTTGTTATTGTTGTAATACTGCAAACATTTTTGAGGTCTAGCTGATTTTTGCTGCATCTAAATCTGCATGAAAATATTATAGCAATCATGTATTTTGAAACTTCCCAGATCCTGCATGAACGCGAGATGCTTTGTGCACTGGACTGACCATGCATTTTGAAACTTTTGCGCTTTTAAGTAGATTAAACCGTTGAGTTTGACCTTAAAAAGTCTAGTGTGACATTGAAATTGAACTAATAGGGTATTCATTTATTCATCTCATTAGCTGTGATTTCTCCTTCATCTAGCAGCCTGATAGAGGAGCTGTAGTTCCGAAATTTGGCGAATGGGATGAGAACGATCCTCAATCTGCAGAAAACTACTCTGAGGTTTTTAACAAAGTGCGAAATGAAAGGAACAGAGGCCCTGGAAATGTGCTAGGCACACCTGGTAGAACATCTTACAGTATCGAAAGGCATCAACGAAACGAAAAGCAAAAGGTACTGCTATCACTTCTGCTCTTTTCTATTTTCAGAGGCTGATGCCTATGTTCAACTGGTTCAATGGAATCCATTATTTTCAATATGGAACATGAATAGTTCATATGTATGTGAAAAACCATTAGTATCTTGTCGTTGTTCCTAGATTGCTAGTATTACGGCTATTTCCTATTATCTTCCGCTTCGGTTTTCTTGTATCTTACTGTGGTTACTGCTTGTTGCTATTGCTTTCCTCCATCTATTTTTTTGTTTTGTTTCTAGTTCTTACATTGTTATCATTCTTCTCGCTATTGTTTGAGATTTGATTGTTTCTATTCATCCTCTCGAGCCGAGGGTCTTTGAGAAACAACCTCTCTACTCCTCCGGGATAGAGATAAGATCTGCGTGCACACTACCCTTCCCAGACCCCGCTTGTAGGAGTTCACTGGGTTGTTGTTGTTGTATGTGAAAAACCACTAGTATTCAATAAATATTAAATTTGGACAGATAATTTCAGAACTACAATGAATTCAGCGCTAAGAACCTTAAAGGTTAAACACGTCAAGTTTAAATTCTGCATTTGTCTTTGGCTACAATGTTTCAGTCTTGTTCTCATCCTCTCTTCTGTATTCTGCAGAGCTGCTGCTTTCCTTTGTGGTGAAAAAGAGGGTCCAATTTTTCTGGTGATATGAAGCAATAGTTGATCTGTAAATAAATCAACAAACTCCTCTGCAATGTTAATTTTTTTTGTGTTAAGAGGCTTCTTATATTTGGGCTAGTGGTTTGTTGTCTTTGTTATGCTTTCAGCTGATTTTTGCAATTTTATTGTGTACTTGTCGTTTTAATTTACTTCTCTTTGTCTCAGTCCTGCAAAGGTACTGTAATACTTTCGAGGCTATGAATATTTATCTGATTTTTATAATTATGTTTTTTTTTAATTATTGTGCTTAATCAATCTATCTGCAGAAAAAGAATAAAAAAAAAAGAATTTTAGAAGTTAAAAAAAATAGTTATGATTATACTATCTTTTTAACATGTGCCATCCCTTTCTTTTAAGGGCTTTTTTTCACTATCAGCCCGCGCCAGAAACTATTTACGTTCGGTAGCCGAAAAGTGTATAGAATTTGTATAATTTCTATATATATATATTAGACAAGAGGGGTTGCTCTGATGGTAAGCAACTTCCACTTCCAACCAAGAGGTTGTGAGTTCGAGTCTCCCCAAGCAAGGTGAGAAGTTCTTGGAGGGAAGGATGTCGGGGGTCTATTTGGAAACAGCCTCTCTACCCCAGAGTAGGGGTAAGGTCTGTGTACACATTATCCTCCCAGACCCCACCAAGTGGGATTATACTGGGTTGTTGTTGTTGTTGTATACTGGGATTATAGTGGTCTCTATGTTCATCTTGTGTCAGACAATAAAAAATGTGTATCAAAAGTAATGAATTTTCACTTGCATATATATTCTAAAATTATTTGTTACTAAATATGTGTGAATTTCATAATCGATTAAATATATATATATATATTTGAATTAAAAGGATACGTCTTTGGGAGGAAAGGAACTAATGGCCTAATCATAATAATTTACTCATATTTTTGTTTAATCCTACATAAATTTATAAACTATTTGTCATAAAAAATAGGAAATAAAATTATAATTTAAGACTACCTCTTGATTTTGAAGCCATACGTCTGGGGAAAAAGATGGCAAAACATAATAATTTACTCATATTCTTGTTTAATCCTACATAAATTAATAGATTGTTTTGGTATTAAACAATAGAAAATAGAATTATAATTAAAGATTACCTCTTGATTTTGAAGCCGAACAAAATAGGCTGCTAATTATGTATTCTCCGCTTTTAAACTTAATCTAACTTTTTGTTTCTTTTTGATATTGTTAGGATGGCATAGGAATATTATGTTATATTATGGCTTAAGAAATTCTTTTTTTTTTTCCAATGACATTTAAGAAGTTCTATTATTAGTTGGTAACAAACTCTTATATTTTAGGCACTTGATATTACTATTTTATCCCATATTCTAATTTTTTTAAAGAAATAATTCAATTGTGAAGGGTATAAAAGTCAGTCAATATTTTGAGGTTATTTTTATCATTCAACATTTACCGTGCTTTTATAATAATATAGATATACACGGCTATTATTTTGGGAGTAGTTATACAACGTAATTTTCCCTTCCTTCTTTTTTCTTTTTTAATCCCTATCTTCCAAGGAAAAGCAATATTTTCTGTGCAAATATGATGGTGAAATCAGACTACTCAAAATGATAAGAACAAATGAAGCTACCAGCAGGAGATACATGCCATACATTACATGATAAGAACTATGATAGTTCCCATATTACAGTACACTTTTTTCCTCATCCTGTCTATTTGCATAACTAAAACATCAGTACAAATCAATGTGGCCTCATCTCAACCAAAGTCTATGGAAAGCTCCAAGAAAAAGAAAAGGAGGGAAACAATCAAAAACTGCAGAAAGACAAGAAAAAAGATAGAAACACTGAAAAAAAGAAGAGCTCCTCCACTGAAATCACTTGCCTACTTGGGCTATAATGGATAATAGAACACTTTGAAACTTATATCCTTGAAGGCTTCTTTCTCCATTCAGTTCGACACCTATTTATTTCAAGTCCATCGCTTGATAATCTCAATAAATGCAAGAAGCTCTTGTTTAAATCCTTTGGAGCGGTAGCAGATCCATTAGCAGCCCCCCCAATCTCTAAAGAAGCAGCATCTTCAATGGGTTCATAGCTCGTAAGAGAATCGACCACATCATCGTGCTGGCATTCGCGCCTATAATCTATTGTGATTGTTTCTAGTTCATGTGTATCAATAATTTCTTGAGGCATACTCTGCCATATATACAAGTAATTTGTCAGCAAAATCAAGTAGGTAGTAATCCATAGATGTAAAATATAATTGCAACATACTTCTAATAACTTCCTATAACAACACAAATGATAAATGGGCTTTAAGATCCCCACCGATTAAGTCTCCTAACTCGTCTAACTATTTATCACAATGAAGAGCAACAGAAGTTTCAGTGTTAAAGAAGTTTCCAAGAAGAAAAGAAATTATTGTGTCGTATATATGGTTGGCCACATCCATGAAGTTAAGAGATAGGAACCAGCTACATACCTCAAGAACCCATCCAATGTAAGTGACATTGTTTACATGTTGATTCATGTCCAGATCAGCTCTGCGTGGCTGCCAAAACACACTGAATATCCTGAGTGTTTCGGAATAGAATATCACTAAACACGGGATTTTAAACCGATACCTACCACCAGCCCTAGCTTGGAATACTCAGCAGGATCTTCAAGTTTTGCTATTTTCTTTAGGCTGCCATTGTTCTCCTCCGGAAAAGCTAACCTGGAATTAGGGTGCCAGTTATCAATAACATTGCTCCCAATAAAATACAAAACTCAAAACTTGCATGTGACAAAGTCAAGGTCAGTGACATCAGAGCATATGCAACGGAGTAGACAAGGAAATAAGTTACACATAACACAATTATGAAGTATCTACAATTTAAAATATGTTAGGTTAAATAGGGAAGGGACACATATTTTTGCTTCCCCAGAGTGAAGTACTCTTCGGACCATCATTTCATTCATTTGTTCAATTCCTTTCTCGCTACCGGTCCTCAGTCTAGCCGATTTAAACATAGTGAGCAAATAGAAAAAGTAAGTTAGGTTGACTCAAGTGTAATACTTAACTAAGATATAGAAAAGGTAAAATTGATGATTGGAGTTGTCTTGATAGAGAAGACACCCATATGATTGTCTGACTGTCTAAACTACACTGAATATGAGTTTGGCAAACAAACAAGCAACGGAGTTGGAAGAAACTGGAGATCTTAAGGCGGTATTTGGATTGGGAAACAGATTGATTTTAGTTTGGTTTTGCTTTTCGCAAAAATTTATGTGTGTGTGTTTGGATTTGGTTTTGAAGAATTGGTTTTGCATATGCTGGAAATTTTGTTTTTGAGAAACAACCTTTTTTTTCGTTTTCATAAAGCAAGACAACTGTTTTTTGGAACAAATGGTTTTTAGGCCCTAGTGTAAATTATGGTAGTTAGAAGGATAAGTTTTTATTTATGTGTTATAATCTTCTTTTTCCATTGATCAATCTAAGATACAAAAATATTCATCAAGTACCAAGAAATAGATGAAATAATTACAAGTCTGTAATGAAAATCCAAGAATTACGAATCTGTAATGTCTCCAAACCATTTGATTGTTAGATATAACGATAAGTTATGATAGTATTTAACAGCTACATTTTCATCTACCAGTAGCAAGTACACCATTCCAACCGTTATATAGTAATTTCAAGAAGTTCAATAAGCAGCTTCTCATTAGAGTTAGATTTAACAAAAGTAATTTACTCACTAAGGAAATTACAAGTTCCAGGAAAGGAAAGGGAAAGAAGAAAAAATGAAAAAGAGGAGAATAAGTTTACCTCAATTCTTTTGGAAAATAGGTTGATAACTCATCACGAACTTCATCAGCTACTTTTTGAAGCCGTCTTGTGTCCTGGTTCATCATGATCCACTTGCTGCAATCAGACATCATAACATCCTAAATTAAGTTTGTAGAATAACATGACAAGCAGTATAGGAAAAGAAAGGATTTATAAATTGTCAAAATGTGGGATCTGTGACTTTGATGCTAGAGAGAAATCATATTAGGAATGACAAATTAGAGACTTCATAAAGTAAACATATTGACTCGCGTTGATTTAGAAGCACACCACTCCCTGGAGGTCCTTTCAGTTTTTATGCAGTAACTTACAAAAAGAAATCATTCGTTCCGATAGCCGCCTTTGTGGGAAATGTATTTTAAGGCAGGACATGTATTTAATAACCATGTGGCATGGAAAATACTAGACTTTACTTGTGAGGGAGAAGATACTTAAAAGATAAGTAATTCATAGGAAAACAATATGAATCAACTAGGTTAAGTATTTGCCACATACAAACTCAAGTTCAGAATAGATACTGCATGCTCGGAAGCATACATGTCCAATTGGAGATGTGCATTAAACAATAAAATTACTCTTTAGTGAGATCTACATTCTTTCTGTTAGGTATATATGGAGTTTATACTAAATTCTGCACCTGGTTGCTCTTCCAATGACATCACCAGTAGCGCAGTCTCTGAGAATCCAATCACGTCTAGTCCCAATTCTGCCTTCACTTTGGCACCAAGTCTCTATTTCAATGACATCACTCCTGTCCCATATCACAGGCAACGTTAGCCATGGCTGCAATAGTCTTGTCAAATAAACCAGTATAGTGAACACAATCGCAGAGGTAGAAAAGGATTACCAAGCAGGGTACTTGTAGATCTCAATGTACAGGCGAGCAGTAACCCATATGAGATGCAATTTTCTCATGGTATGGGTAGTTGCAAATCCATCAGTTGAAAATCCGACCATTTGAGCATGATTGCATCCAACCTCCTGTATAAAAGAGTTTTAAGTATATTTAAACCCAAATAAGCATTGCATGTTCAAAAGAAAGGACAGTCAAAAGACAATTATAGGACCAGTGATAGAGGAAGGCAAGAAAAATATCCCCCAAAATTTTATACTCCCACCTTTAGTATTCAGGAGTCGAGCAATCTTTTCTTTGATTACAATTATTCCTACATTGAATATTTTCAATCACAATTTTTTTTGCCTAAATAGTACTTTTTATGTAGTTCTTAAATAAGTAAATTCTATTTTAAAAGGTGAGGTATCATATTCGAATTGAGATTTAAAATTAGATGGTTTAATCCTACTACTCGGAACCCATCATTCTGTTTGAAAAGGAGGGAGTAGAATTCACTAAGTGCGCTACATTCTATGCTAAGTGCACTAAGATACTAAAACGACCGATCTATGAAGAACGCAACAAAACCAAAATGAAAATGAATTAGAGCTATAATGATTGATAAGGGGGTAGAGAACTTGTAATGATTTAAGACAATGTAGAGCTTGAGGAAACAAATGATAAAGAAAAGCTAAAAGTTTAACTCAGTAAAGTGGAGAAAGCAAAATTCCCAACAGACAATCAGGACAAAGTCCTCTTGAGATATAAGAAAAAACTTGTGAAGACATCGTCTTTATCCTACTTTATTGTTCTAACCTAGGAGTGTTAATTTTGTTCTTCTTCTTTGTAGAGCAAGAACAAATAACCATAACCAAACATAGATGGAAACAACTTATATAATGGAAGAACACGGGTCAACCAAATTTGCTTTAAAAGACAGGTACTAAGTATTAAAAAAAATGAGGCTGAATGGAGGGAAATGTATATAAAGGATTTATACAGCCAAACCCTTTGATTAGCTCATAAAAGTAAACCAAACTACTCAAATATATCAAGAACAAAGACATGTTGATAAAATGATTTTGATTAATTCATTCTGCAACCTCAAACGCACAAAATAAAGTAAAAAATAGCTCTGGTTTTCTTGATCGTGAATACATATTATGGTCTAGATGTGGTAGAGAATTTAGCATTCGAATTTCTTTTAATCCTTTGAATTGCTTTGAGACTTAGTTTACTGATTGGTTAACTAACAAGAGGGTCTAGCAATTGGTCTTTCAATTAGACATATAGACCGCAAAATTAGCCTGTTTAAGCAACAAATAAAGTTAAGCAGTATCCTAATCCAAAGAAAAAAAATTCTAACAAAACCAATTGCATGTCAAAACAAAAACAAAAAGGGAGAAAAATAGACATGCATTGTTAAATTAAGAGCTCATATTCAGTGAAAGAGCTGATTAACACAAAAATCCAACAAAAAAATAAATATCAATCAATCTTTGGCAATTGCACGTCAAAGAAAAATAATAAAAAATGAGAAAAAAGACATGCATTGACAAATCAAGAGCTCATAGTCAGCAAAAGAGTAAAATAAGAATACAAAAAAAAAAAAAAAAAA